TTGTCCTCTTGGTAATGACCTTTGTTTTCTTTATACTGAGATGCAGTCCATATTGAAGGCTGGAGTCTTTAATCTTCTGAAGCAATCATTTCAAGTTCTCACTTTCAGCAAGTAAGATCATATCATAGCATAATGCAGGTTTTTAATGAGTTTTCATCTAATCTTGATACCACCTTCTTCTTAGAGTCCACCTTCTTGAATGATTTGTTCAGCATCCAGATTGAATAGGTATGGAAAAAGGATACTGCCCTCACTTACACCTTTCCTTACTTTAAACCATGCTCCATTTGAACAACAGCTTGGTCTATATATAAGTCTCGTATGGGCATATTTAAATGTTCTGAGATTCCCATTCTTCTCAATGCTATGATCCACACAGTCAAATCACTTTGCATGATCAACAATAAAACACAAATAAACATTTTTCTGGTAGTCTCTACTTTTATCCAGATTAATCTGAGATGAGTGTGTATGTGTGTGTATGTCTGATACACACACACACACACGCACACCCCCTAAAGGCTCTGGTAGTAAAGAGCTGCACTGCCAACCCAAGGGCTCAAATCCACCAGCTTCTCTTCAGGAGAAAGATGGATAATTGCCCATGGCATTTTCTGCTTCTGCAAATGTGCTCATGGGTCAGTTATGGGTTGGTTCCAACTCGAACAGCACATAACCATAACAAGTGTGTGTGTGTGTGTGTGTGTGTGTGTGTGTGTGTGTGTGTAAAGAAAAGGAGAAAGTGAGGGTTTTATTCCAGGAATTGGCTAATGTGGTGTTTGTAGATGTTGGTAAGCACCTTTGAGTCAACAACTCTTAGCTGTATATCAGCATATCCCTCCCCTATGCTGCACTATCTTCATGGCATTTGATAAGCACCAGCTCATTGGTACAATCCCTGCCTCACACCATTTTGCTGAGAGTCTTCCTGCCTTTCTCAGACCCTCACCTGTCCCAGCACAATGTCTTTCCTCCAGGATTGGTCCCTTTTGCCAACATGCTCCAAGCAGGTGAGATGAAGTTTCCTCATCCTTGCCTCCCAGGAGTTCCCTGGTTACACATCCTCCAGGACAGACTTGATTATTCTTCTCACAGTTCGTGGGAAATCCTGTCCTCTTCTCTAACACTAGAATTCAGAGTTTTAGGTGATTCTTCTGTCATCCTTATCTACAGGATCACTTTTTTTAAAAAAGGGAACAAATATAGACTGGTTTGGCCTAAAGATTGTCTTCCAAATTTCTTGGCACAGCCTGATAAGCATGTGTAGGACTGTATCTGTTTGTTTCAGGGGGTTCTGGTGGCTTAGAGGCAAGAAGTTGTGCTGACACTCTAAAAGCATGCAGTTTGAATCCACCAGCTGCTTTTTGGAGAGGGAGAAAGACATTGGGCGATCTCCTCCCTTGTGATTTACTGCCTCTGAAGCCAGCAGGAAGGTCAGCTAGGAATCATTCCAACTCAATGGTACTTACGAATTTTCAATGCAAAAGATCAAACAGAGCTCAAATTAACAGTCCTCAGTCACTATCCCCCAGGTTGTGAATCACAAAGGGAGGAGACTAATAGATTTGAAAGACCATAGTTGCAAAGTTGAAATTAGCAGTGTGATCATTAGAGGCTAAGAGGCCACCAGAGCTTCCAAACCATAAGGTTCTTAAATTATACTGAGGATCATGGCCACACAGGATTAACCATCACAGCCTCTATAGAATATGATGAGATTTTTTTTTTCAAATGATTAAAAAAACCCCAAACGTATAATATAAATTTATTATCTTAAAAGCTTGTTGTTAAAAAAAAAAAAAAGCTTGTTGTTATGTGCTGTTGAGTCGCCTGCAACTCATAGCAACCCTATGTACAACAGCCCTAAATCCTGCTCTATCTTGTGCCAATCTTATTGTCTCTAACACACCTACCCCCATGACCCCAGTGACTGAATCAATCCAACTGATCAAGGGTCTTCCTCTCCTGCTCCGTTTAGGAGGCTACAAGTTTGAATTCAAGGCTCCAGCTGTAGATGAAACTTCAGTCTTTTGGTCAGTTCTGGGGAAAAGTTTCATCATTAGTCTCCCCCTGTGTATAAGATGGTCTGAGTACAGGAACAACTCCAGTCCTAACTCTTCTTTCTTGATGGTAGATGCTCCCTCTGAGCTTGCTTCCTTGTTTCATTTCTCTTGTATCTCTAGAGATCTATTTTAAAATATACCCTAATCTCACAGTTTGTAATCTGCCTCATTAATATAACTGTGATAATTCCGCCTCATTCACATAGTTGTTGTTGAATTGGAATCAACTCATGCATGGCCCCCCTTTGGGTTTTCAGAGGCAATAAACTGCATAGGAGATGATTACTGACTCAAACCACATACTGCTGGGTTGGCAACTCAATTCATTATGACTAAACCACCAGACTCAATTCGCATGCTGAGCAAATTATTAGAGAAGCGAGGCTCTATATAGAAAAATGTGGCATCGGAGTTGGAGGGAGACTCATCAACAGCCTGTGTTATGCAAGTGATACAACCTTGTGCGCAAAAACTAAGGAGGACTTGAAGTGTTTGGGGCAAAAGGTCAAGGACTGCAGCCTACAATATGGAATATATATCAATATCAAGAAGACAAAGATCCTCGCCACTGAGCCAATAGTCAGCTGCATGATTTATGGAGAACAGATTGAAGTTGTTAACAATGTCATCTTGCTCAGATCCACAATCAGCACGCTTGCTTGGCACCAGTAGTTGAGAAATAAAAAAATCGAGTTACACTGGGGAAATCTTCCATCAAGGACTTCCTTCTCCAGAGTGCTGAAGAGCAATGATGTCAGTCTAGAGACGAAGAAGTGCTTGATCCAGGTCATAGTCTTCTGAATTGCTTGCTATGTATCTGAGAGCTGGACAATAATCAAGGGTGACAGAAGAAGAGTAGATGCCCTTGAGTCGTGGTGCTGGAGAAGAGTCTTGAACATTCCATGGACTGTCAAGAGAAGAAACAGGTCTGTCCTAGAAAGGGTGAAACCAGGTTTTCCCATGAAGGTAACAATTTTGAAATTCCATCTCATATACTTTGGCTATGTTGCCAGGAAGGGCCAGTCCTTGGAGAAGAACATCATGCCTGGAGGGTGGAGGGGAGGACTCAATAAGATAGATTGACACAGTGACTGGAAAACCTGCAACATTTCGATGACCAGCAGAATGGATTAAACGTCTGTACCACCTAGGGATTTGTTTCCAATAGGATAGGCTTTCTCCCAATTGTTCTCAACTCTTCTGAGCAATCAAGATGATGTATTATTAGGGTGTTTGCCAGTACAAGTCTCATAGGGTGTTACACCTCTTAAAAGCTGACTAACTTATATACCTGAAAGGACTAATTATTTCTATTTTATTTGCCTTGATGTGTTTTTCCAGTTGCTTCAGGCAGATCATTTAAATAAGGAAGCGCAGGGCTTGTCCAAAGAGCGTGTCAGGGCGACACCTTGGCTCATGAGGGAAAAAGACTTTCTGATCACACATGTAGGGAGTTTTTGCAGCTCTTATTTTCAAGTCTAACTTTTAAAGCAGAAGAGGCCTTTAATGTGTAGGAAATCTGATTTTTCAGTGTGATAACGCATTCTCTGACATTAATCAGACCAGTTGGGTTTTTAATGACACTTTCATCTTCAAAGCCCTTTACCAACCCTGATGGATTAATTATTCATTTTCAGTGTGTGGTGAAAAGACAAGTCTTCAAAGCTATCATCTTTTCTGCTTGGAATTGGGGCTCTCCATCTTTCAAATGCCCTCAAGGGAGAAAAAGAACTGAACAGTGCATTATTTTTTAATTTCTTTTTTTTTTTAGGACGAAGAGAACAATGCAATAGCCATATGTTTTTTGCATTGTGTAATAAGGATGAGGTCCTTATATCCTGGGTGGGATTAAAAGAGCAGGGTTTAAACTGTCTGTACAGTAAACTCGGTGGAAAAAAAGAAACATTCCGGCTAAGAGTGTTTTGTTGGTGTCAGTCTTTTGATATGTTCTTAAAAAGATACAAACACCTAGAGTGCCCCAATATTCATCCTAAATTGGTGGATGATAAGAGGACCCTTAAGGAGGGAACTATCCTTGGAGAGGAACTTGCTGCTTGGAAGGGTGGAGGGACAGCACAAGAGATGAAGCACCTGGATGAGATAGATTGACTCAGTGACTGGAGTAATGGGGGTAGGTGTGTCAGAGACAGTGAGTTTGGCTCAAAATAGAGCAGGGGTCAGAGCTACAACAACAACGTGTGCGGTTGTAATTCCGCCCCCCCCCCCTCTGAAAAAGGAGCCAATTGGGGGTTTGAGCGATTTGGTGCTAAAGAAGGGAGCCACAAGGGAGCAGTCTTTTCCTTTGATGAAGTCTTCCCTCCACCCCCAGAAAAGCAGCACCGAGTTGCAAGTCCAAGTTGGTAAACAGTCTGAAAGCTCTTTCCTTTAGACCTGAACGTCACAGGTAGCTACAGGGCTCCACAGTCCAGTTTTGATTTTCAAAGCCAAAGCCTCGGGAACAGGCGCGCGCTGGGCTACCCGGAGATCCCTGTTCCCGGGAGGAGCTCTCCTCAAGCCTCAAACATTCCTCTGGGCTTTGAAGAGCACTCATCTCTTGCAGACCCTGAGCGGTGGATTACAATAATTGAAAAGCTTCGGTGGCTTTGGAAGATTACTCGGTGTTTGGGGCTGCGCTCACATTTCCAGGTTCCGGATGGAGCAGAGGAACCCCTCTATCTTTTGAAATTAGAAGATCAGAGGGGGAGATAGGGTTTATAATGTGGACTAAGGGGAGTCTCTGCTAAGCACTGCAGTTTGAATCTTTATAAGAAGATCGAGGAGCACAATGAACTTCAGAAGTCTTGCAAAGTTTCCTTGAAACCTGTCCTCCTCGAAACTTCTTCAAAGACAGCACCTACCTCTCCTTTTAAGATCTTAAAGCCCATCGTCGACTGAGAACTTCATTTCTTGGGTGACTTGTTTGCTTGGTGGAAAATAATGGAGAAACGTAGAACGGAAGGACTGCTGGCCGCCTTGCCTTACCCCCTTGGCCCTGCGCCTCTGGACACACCCGGGACCCTGAGGCAGCTCCCCCCTTTCGGGGTCTCTCTGCGCCTGGACGCGGCGCACAGGGTCTGCGCGCGGAGACGGCCGTACTCGCCCCTGTCGCTGGAAGGCGCCTTCGAGCCCGCCTTCCTCCGCAAGCGCAACGAGCGCGAGCGGCAGCGCGTGCGCTGCGTCAACGAGGGCTACGCGCGCCTGCGGGACCACCTGCCCCGGGAGCTGGCGGCCAAGCGCCTGAGCAAGGTGGAGACGCTGCGCGCCGCCATCGGCTACATCCGGCACCTCCAGGAGCTGCTGGAGCGCCACTCCCGGGGCTCGGAGGGCGCGGGGGGCGCAGGTCCCGAAGGCCCCGAGCGCAGGCCCGACTGCAACAGCGACGGCGAGTCCAAGGCGTCCTCGGCGCCCTCGCCCTGCAGCGAGCCCGAGCCCGAGGAGGGGGCCGGCTAGGAGCGCCCTGAGCCCGGAGCTGGAGTTCTCTCGGAAGGTGCCTTGCATTCTTATTGTGTATTCTCCACGCCTCCGATTAATTTAAAAAAAAAAAAAATGCGTGCTGCTGGGGGGAAAAGGTTGGACGTTCTGAGTGGCTTTTGCTTCCCTCTTACTGGTTACTTGCCTGCAACTTCAAGGATACGTTCATTATTACGCTTGCTCGGTACTTCTCAACTGTTTATGTCAGATTTGTGTCCACCTTAGTGCGAAGGTTTGAGTGTGTGATGGCGGGAAGAAGGACCAGAGTGCTGAGAGAGTCAGAGATGCTTGTTCTAAAACTATTCTGAAAACTCAAAGGGCATTTAACGTGGTCAAATGGACGTGCTAGTGGTTCAGCTGAATCTGTGAATATTGCAACGCAGTCAGTCTTCATCAGAGAAGAATTTAGAAGGTGCTAGCTAGTCCTTATGATGAGAGGAATGTAGCATTCCTATCAGTGGGGATTGTAATCGGGAAACAAATTGACTCGGAATTTGAGTGAAGGTGATTCTGAGATGACCCAGTTCGCCAGGATTTGGTGCCAGACTGTGGTGCGTAGTAATGTCTCACTATGGGTATGGGAATGAGAAGACACTGTATTTGACACATGCTATTTTATCAAAGAGAGACCACTTGGAACTTTTATATGATTTTGCAAATAATAAAGTATCTTAATGATCTTTTTGAGAGAGAACTTAGTTTTGTATGAAAATGTGTATTTCCCTTCGGACTCCCTGAGCCTTTAAAAATACCTCTTTTTTGGTATTCTTTGTCATTTTCATTCCTTCTAACCACCTTGGGTTAAATTAAAGGTACACTATGACTTTAAAAACAGAAAAATCAGGGAGCTCTGGTGGCCTAGTGGCAAGAAGCTGCCCTGAAATCCCAGAGGTATATGATTCGAATCCACCCGATGCTCTGCTGGAGGGGTAATCTCCTCCTGTATCAGTCAGATCCGATTTGACGACACACACACACACAAGGGGGAAAATATCAAAACTACTTAGTATTTTTTTGATGGCACTAGAGAGCGGCATTGCTACCCCAAAGGTGACACCTCTCTGCCAGTTCGAAGCCACCAGCTGCTGCTTCTCTTAGGGAGAAAGATGGGCAGTCTCCTCCTATGCAGTTTACAGCCGTGGAAAACTACTGCAAGGTATGTCTCGAAGTCCAATTTTGTGGCAAGGAGAATGAGCGTGTTTGATGGTTGAACTGACCTGGAGAGGATGTAGGCAAAGGGAGATGAAATGAGGTCAGTACGTCCTTTACATTTTTTTTTTCACCTTGAACATTTCCAGGTATATTGAAATTAACTCTAGACTTGGACTATGGTTTTCATCTTTTAAAAACCATTTGATTATCAGCTATGGGTTTGTTCTGACTCAACAACAACATCTACAACAGAAAGGTGATAAACCATTTGATTTTCATTTTTCTGAGTTGTTGTCGAGTACGACTTACAGCGACCCTGTGAACAGATGAACCCTGTCCTATCCTGTGCCGTCATCACACTTCCTGACACACAGCCCACTGCAGCAGTCATCGTGTCAATCCACCTGGTGGAGGGTCTTCCTCTCTTTCATTGACCCTCTACCATTCCAAACATGATGTCCCTCTCCAACAGATAGCCTCTCCTAGCAACATTCTTATTCTGTAAATAAGTGAATTTCTTTTTGACATATATATAGATTAATTTCCTCTCTCTAAAGTGGTCTTCTGGTAGGAACTATCCTTTCCATGAAAGCAGCATTGATATCTGGGAAATGAGGGCAGCAAACAAGGAGCAGGTCTCATCCTCACACTGGCTGCATGTAGATTTATTTTTACAGGCGTCACTGAGGGAATCTAGCATTCAGTGAACATCTTTTACATGCTAAGAATTCTTTTGTGCTTTTAAAAACCTATTTTGTCTTAATTGATTCACATGTCTGGAACTAAATTTATATTTATTTTGTGGTTGAAAAAAATCCCAAACACCTCCTTGAGGTTCAGAGACATCATGCAGCCTTGTCAAACTTGGTGTTACCGAGACTGGTTGAATCTTGAAATTCAATCCCCATCCTTTCTGACTCCAAAACCAGTTATCGTCAAGTCAGAATCAACTCATGGTGACTCCACGTGTGTCAGAGTAGAACTGGGCTCCACAGGGCTGTTTGTGGCTGATTTTTTCTGAATTAGATTGCCAGGCCTTTCTATTGTGGTATCTCTAGGTGGACTCAAACTTCAGACATTGCTATTAGCAGCTGAGCATTTCTGTTAGCCATTTGCAACTACAAGAAGTGGAGAATGTTGTTTGGTGCCATGCATTGGCTTCCAACTCATAGTGACCTTATATACAGCAGAACAAATGCCATTCAGTTTCTCTGTGTCATTGAAGGTTGTCTTTTTTGAAGTTGAAACCAGGCTGCTCCTTAGAGGCAAGGATTTTGAAGCTCCAACTCACACACATTGGGCATATGGCCAGGAGGGACCAGTCCCTGGAGAAGGACATCATGCTTGGAAGGGTGAGGGATGGTGCAGGAGAAGACTCAGATGAGATGGATTGATACAGTAACTGGGGCAATGAGGGTAGGTGTGTTGGAGACAGACTGGCTCGGGATAGAGCAGAGTTCAGAGCTATTGTACATAGGGTTGCTGTTCTATGAGTCGCAGGTGACTCGATGGCACATAACAACAACAATATTGCTAAGCGTGATGCCCTTCTCCAGGGACTGGTCCCTCTAGATAACATCTCTTAAGTGAGAGGAAGTCTTACCATCCTCTCTTCCTCATTTAAAGAACAGATGCTAATGAGAAATCATGGGTAGAAGCATGTCCTGTTGTTGTTATGTGCCATCAAGTCAATGATAGCGACCCTCTGAACAACAGCTCTGAACCTTGTCTCTCTCCTAAGCCAACCTTGTTGTCTCTGACACCTGCTTTTCACTGTGTCAAGCCATCTCATCCAGGGCCTCCCTCTCCTGGGCTGATTGTCCACCCTTCCAAACATGATGTCCTTCTCCAAGGACTGGCCTCTCTTAACAATATGCCCAAAGTCTGTGAGATGAAGTTTGACAGTGTTTACTTGTAAGGAACACCTTGGTTGCACTTGCTCTAAGACGGACTTGTTTGTTCTTTTAGCAGTTGTGGGATATCTAGTACTTTTCTCCTTTACCACAGTTCAAAGGCATCATTTCTTATTCTGTAATCCTTATTTATTGCCCTACTTTCAGATGCATAAGAAGCAATTGAAAATACCATGGTTTGGATCAGGTGCACCTTACTCTTTAAACTAACATCCTTGTTCTTCAGCACTTTGGAGCCAAACAATAAGACTGGCCTCGAAGTGAACAGTAACATCAGGGAAACACTCACTCCCTAGAATAATTAACCATAAAAAGTCAAAAGTCTATGGGGGAGAGAATAGTCTAAAAGTATTATATTTTAGAGCATTATTTTTATCGTAGGAGTATGCAATGAGGGTTGCAGAGTGGATTATATTTGGGGGTAGGGGGTGGGTTTTGGGGAGGTGCGGGGGAATTGTGTACCAATGAGGGAGTTTTTCTTTTGCTTTACAAGGAAAGGAGCAAAGGGGGGGGAGGGGTTTGTGCGGGGAGAAGGGTGCAACAGTGAATGAATGGAATCCCAAAATCTCTGTAGATGTTCATTGAAATGAAAAATAAACAAACTAAATTAATAAAAAAAATAAAAAATTTTAAAAAGGGCAGTATTTGCTCATGGATAGAGCTTCGAAGGCAGGAAGGGGTAGAATGGAAGGATTAATGGAAATAAGAATCACAGGGACGAAGTGGGACGAGTGCAGCTTCAATGCAGATGTCGTGATTAATGTTATATAATGCATATAAATGCTTGGATGGAAAGTCAATTTGCTTTGTAAATGTTCACACAAATCATAATAAAAGAGAGAGAAGGGAGGAGGAAAGAGTGCTTTTAGGAAGTGGCAGTGGGAATGGAAAGGAAAAGATGGATTTTGAGCCAACCTTGAAGTTGTTGTTGTTGTTGTTTAATGCCGTCGAGTCGTAGACGACTCATAGCGACCCTATGAATGAACAGCCTGAGCACTGTTCATACATAGAGTTTCCAGAGGCAAGCCATTTTGGAAGTGGATGCCGCTCCTGCTTCCAGAACCTTGAAGTAGAATTAGCAAATCAGTAATTGGGCTGGGGGATGAGGAAGAGGGAGAAGTTAAACTGTGTTCTTTTGAACTCTGGTGGATTCTTATCACCTGAAAATAGGAACACAAATTAAAAGCACATTTAGTAGGTTTGGAGATGATGAGTTTAAAAAAATGAATAGGCTATTCTTCCTGTCCGCAAGCAGTTGGCAGTGAGGTTGAGGTCAGGTGGAAAGTCAAAGACAGATGTCAAGATGAGAGCCACAGACATAAGGTAGTAGTTACAGTCGGTGGCAGTGTTGATGACAATAGGGAAGAAACGTGTGACAGGCCCGAACTGAAGGAATGGAGAAGAAAAGTCCCAGAAGTGGACGGAGAAGCAGGAGCCTGAGAAGCTGGAAGGAGAACCAGCGAGTGTGTTCTTGTTAAGTGCCAGTCGAGTTCGTTTGAAATCATGATAACCTGTGTAAACAGAACAAGACACCGTCCTGTTCCGCACCGTCCTCACAATTGTCATTGTTGAGCCCATTGTGATAGCCTTTGAGGACCCTCCTCCTACCTAGTGACCCTCTCCTTTATCAAGCTTGATGTCTGGTCCCTTTTGATAACATAGTTCTAAAATACGTGAGACAGCATCTCCTCACTCTTGCTTCCAAGGAGCATTCTGGCTTTTTTTCCTTCCAAGACAGATTTGCTCGTTTTTCTGGCATTTCATGGCACATGCAACATTCTTCCCAAGACCCTAATTTAAAAGCGTCAGTCTTTTACATTCTTCCTTAGCCACTGTCCAGCTTTCCTATGCAGACGGAGTGGCTGAAAAGACCATGGCTTGGGTTAGGCGCACCTGAGTCCTCACCTGGTATCT